ACAACAACATAGGGGCAGCACTGGATGGAAAAAAATATGAAACGAGAATCGCTAGGGTCCGATCCATCATCATCATCATCTCCTTCACGACCGTCAGTAAATTATCATTATCGAATTTAAATGAAATTGCTGAATCCGCTAATTACGGAAGAAAAAAAATGCAAATCTTTCAAAAGCAAAAGATACTATAGCTGAATATAATGATCGATATATACATACAATATTATTATATTAATAATATAATGTAATATAAACATTTATATTATTTACTGTTAACATCTATATTCATTATCGTGTTTTTTTATATATAGAAAGAGCTTACTTAATGAATTAATTAAATAATTTTTACGTTCGTTATGAGCGTAAAAGCCCTAAATAAAGAATAAATAAAATAGAGAGACTTCCTTTGACTAAGGACGCAGGACAAGTTTAAGTATAGATGTAAATTTGATAAGAAAAAAATACTTCCGGTCCATAAATTACAACAATTAATTCAGTGAAAAGGAAAGAGAAAGGAGGAGACTTTTCTTTCTGTGTTTCTTTGGTGAAGGCCAAACGAATAGATTTCATTATCCTGACGTGAGTTTTTCATTTCTTTTTTTTTTGTTTTCTCTCGTTTGCTCGAAGAGGGGACGACTTCACCTGTCAGTGTGTGCAGCGTGTTGAAGTGAAGGGAGAACCTTTTTGTGCGGTTTGGCTTCTTCCGTTCACAGGTGGACGAGAAAAGGAAGCGACGAAGAGGTTCGACGTCGGAAGGCGCCCCAAGGGCAGAGGTTACGGCCGTTACACTTCCTTGCCCCCGGTGTGAAAACACCGGCCGCTCCCACGATTGTTCCTCGTCCTCCTCTAATCCACCTTCTTGTTCTCTTCATTACTCATTTATACTTCGCTGTTGTCCTTTTTTTCTTTTCGTTTGTTTCGGTAGGAAAAAAGATTAATACCTCGGCGGGGCAACAACAATACACGACTTTCGGAAAGGAAGAAGCCCAGACCATAAAAATACAGGAGAATGACTCAACGACATATGTACGAAGAAAAAACCGCGCAAAGAGCACACGTAAACGGAATCACCTCAATTATCATTCATCTTCCTTCTGTTCACTCGACCAACGCTTCTCTTCCTTCGATGGCTTTAAAAAATGAAGCGAATATCGAGCGGAGGATGCAGTGACTGGTAATTGAACTGGATAAAAGACAGGATGTCCTTGGAAGACGCAAAAAATCGTTATGCAAATCTCTTTGCTCTCAAAACTTGACGTATATAAACGAAATAGACTCAATGTATTCACGAAAACACGTAAGCTTAATTCATGCGATCGTAATCCAACTTTACTCTACATATGGGCATTAACTGACCTATAGGCTTCGGTTTCTCTTTAATCCTTTCTTGTTTTATAATTTCGGTTCTTGAATGAACGTTAACAACCTGCTGTAGTGTGACATTAAACAGACGTTTCGTGCATGTCTGCAAAAGAAACTTGTATTTCAACAATGATTACTATTATTGTAATATAATAAATATATAAATACAAGTTTCGCCTGTCCCGGTGATGTGTTTTCGAAGAGGTGGAAAATGGAGGAGGCTAGTGCAATAATAATGCCATTTATATTCCATATTTTATACGGAATGTAGGTCAGTTTTGCACCACAATAAGAACAGACCGAAGTCCCCGCTCCAACTCAGATCTTATACATAAATGTATAAAGAGGATGAAAAGAGAAAAGCATAGGGAAAAACGCAGATACGAAAGACATAAAGAGAGATAGAGACGGAGAAGAGAGTCAGACCCGGTAATCCATTTTTGTGATCTATAGAGCACAACTTCTCGATCGGAACGTAGTTATATCTGTATTTCTTTATTCCAGTGTTTTTTTCTGAACGCTCTGCAGTATTATGATCAGATTTCCGATATTGAAACAATTTTGTTTCTTTTATGTCCGCATGAAAATACTCAGCGCAGATACATACGAAATTACGATTTAATTAGTGAGAGAACAGGTGTAATTCGATTGGATTTCAAAAGTGTTATTGAAACGCTAATTGCGGACCAGTTAATAAAATCCAATTAATTTCGCGTACCAGCATAGTATGGGGTCTGCAATATGGAATTAAAAACTAAACTCAAAATAAAAATCGTGGGGGCATGCACATTAATAACACTGCAAACAAGCTGGCAAAAAAATAAAAATCAAGTAGGAAAAGTATATAATGAGGAAACTTTTGTGTCTGTTGCGATTTTTCTATCCGATTTCTGGAGAGAGATCTATTAACGAAGCGTGGCGCATACAATTATAATGATATAAATAATTATATCTTTACAGAAAATATAATTTGGAGTAGTATTCCCTCTTAATTAGCCAACGACCTCAAGATTTTTAGTCCACCTTATAATGGGAATCATTTTTGTTATTATACCTATAAATTAGATTTTTTCCTGTTTTTGTATATTCCGAGCATTTTAAAAAAATAATTCCTGTTTTAGAACTAGATTAGATTATTATATAAATGAAGAACTAAATAAATATTTGCCTAGAGGAAAAAAGGTCAATCAATTTTGAAATATCGAAACTACTTCTCCATGAAGCACTAAAAAAATGTATTTACAGCAAAAATTCAAATTGGCTCCGTTTCAAATCATTTACCTCGTTATGCAATTAGTCCGAATCGCTGTTCTCTTTGTTGCTGTTCCAAATTGGAAACAAAAAAACGCGATAGGGGAAAAATAATACTTTTGCAAAGGATTTAGTTTACAACCCAATAGTAATTGAATGCTCGGCCAATTTGAATGTTCTTTAACAAGAGCTGAAACTGAATTGTATTGACCCGCACCTCAAATTAAAATGTACGTGTCCAATATTGTTCATACTGCAAAGCAGGAAACGATGACAAACTAAAAGAAGAGACGACGAGAGAAATATAGAAAAAGGAACATGTAACACGTATTTAAAACGAAATGAGACGTAACTGTGTTTCCGTTTCTTTGAACACCGAGGAAAGACACACAGACGGCAGCGGCAAGAAGAATCAATGATCCGTTATGTAACCCTATTACGGGAGGAAATATTTCTCTCCTCATTTTCAATATAATGATTTCGTTTTACATAATTTGAATGACATAGAGTGCATCTATGCCAGGCTGTGCTGTTCGAGTTCTTTGTTTTTATTAGTACTGATAAACTAAACAATGCACAGTAACAAAAGCCAATAACGAAATTGTGCTTGTATGATTATTATCCCTCATTCTAGTACCATTGGAGTCCTTTTGTCTAAGGATTTTACGAAATAACGCTCGGAATATGAACAATTCGCTTCGCTTTCTACGTACATGTGTATGTATATATTTTTTTTATCAATCAGCTTATTGAATCTGTCGATTGATTTCGATGTAGAGAGGATGAAGGGAAGCGGAGAACGGGAAAGAAAAGTGGCCTTCCTGTGCAATTTTTCTGCATGCACACTCGACGTTTCGCCCGATACCACTTTGTGCAAGAGCATCGTACACATAAAAGAGAAAGAGAGGAAAAATTGCAAGCGCAGAACAACGAAGGGCATGGAGTGTGGTGGTGTGCATTGAATAAAAGGGCCGCTCGAAAATGTGGGCCAACCATTAATCGATACGACATATGCGAAATGCATAACACAAAGGCGAAATTATGTTCCTTCCTTTCATACACAGACACACGCACACGTACACACACACCCTCGAAACAGACACATCCCATCATCATCATTATTGTCGACATCGAAGTCGTCATCAAAAACAGGACAATAAAACGAGAGAAAAATACCCATCACCCACGGAACTTAATCGTCTCTCGGGCTCGTTACATTGTGACGAAATAATAATGGAAAACCAGCAAGCCTGTATCTCTATATATAAAGGTACACATTGAGTAGCTTAAATTAGAAACCATGTCTTATTGTGGACTACGGTATTCCAAATAGTTTAAAGGTCAGGAATAACTGTATACCCCTTATCATCGCCATCATTATTAAAATGTAATCCAATTATCAGCACAAAAAAGAAACATAAAATAACTCAAATACATGATTATAAATAAATAATCCATTAAGTAAATGGTTTCAATTTAAAGCAGCTATTTTTTATACGAATACAAATAAATATATTGAATTCTTTACTAGAATTTTCAACTTTAAATATTTTGTTAAATGTTAAACAATTTAATTTTATTTAAATCTCATTATCGTTGCACATAACGTACATTTTCAATATAGAGAATAACTAAAATAAAGCTACTTACAAAATAATTGTTGCTCTAATGATTTTATATTGATTTTCTTAGTTTTATCAACAAATATTTGCAATGACATCTACAATATTTATGCAATTATATAAGAAATTGTAATTGATTATCTGTGTTGTTACGTTACAGTCTATAGAACTTAGTTTGGTACAAAATGTATATAATTTTATTATGTAAAACTCCATTATCGTTGCGCAAAATGTATGTTTTCAATATATTTGTTCACTGAAATAGTGCTGGTAACAAATGGAAGCTATTAGTTTTGCTGTAATTGTATTATATTACTTCCGACAATTACTTTTATTTGTCAATAAACATTACAGTTAGAATAAATTCGACGAAATTGCAATTAATTTTGTATTAATCATACAAACACAATTTTGGTTATAAACGTAATCAACTGCTGAAATGGCTATTTATTTAAATTATTGTTGTTATTGTCTTTTAATTTTCTAATTAATTGTCATGAAAGCTAAGTGTACTCATTTTAAATTATTCCGTAAGTTAATTTCTTTGTAAGATTTTTTTTTCTTAGTATAAAATTATTTTGTAAGAATTCTTCATTACTGATCCAATCTATTTTTATTTATAGATTATTTTAATTGAAGAATTTTAGACAATTATCGCGTCCTATCGATGTACATAAAATTCAATGTGAAATATAAAAAACACTGAGTGTAACTTATAATACAACTTTATAATATGTTTATATTAATAAAAAAAATATGTCTTACCGAAAGTCCTAAGGGATGGCTCCATCTTTTTTTTCCACTTATGTTAATCCTCGATTGAATCCGATCAAGTGCAGCGGCTTTCTTCCACTTTCATTTAATTTTCCATCAGGTCTGAAACAAAACATAAAATAAATATAACGGAATATATAAAAAGTTAAACCGAATGAAAGCAAATGCGAGTTTGAAAGTATAGCTTAAGTATTGCGTGTCGGGTTACCAACTTTACTTCAGTGCATAAGATATAGTCTAATTGATTCACCCTGCAGATATCCTAATTGTCTACGATTATCATTTCGGGGAAATTCTTTATATGACAGTTCTTTTAAAGTTCGGCACTAAAATTTAAAGAGAACTTAAAAAAAACTTTCCGAAACTTGCACTCTTTGAAACTAACTATCCTTCGGTTCCGTACGTTGGAAGGAAAATTAATTAATTCCACGTTAATTACTCAGGAATGCAGACAAATAATACGTATGAACTTTCTGCGATCAGACATATTTTCAAAGGGTTTGCGTGCAGCAACACAGTTCACTTTCATGTAATACAAATTTCGTAATAATATAATTGCTCAATTTTTGTGGGAGTTGGTAATTACTATTCGTTTTATTTGTATTAAAGGCCAGAACGTATCGATTACTTGATATTTGACGATAACTGGGAGAACCATGTGTTAAGGCAGATGCTTATAACCAGTCTAACATATTTATGAATAGTAATATGGGACCATTTAATATGAGGAAGGTGAGCGTAATTAAAAATTCTAGAGTAAAAAAGCATAGTGGAAGTAGAGAAAGGATGAAGATGTTTCTTAATTATGCTCCCTTCATCAACTGAAGGCACGTATTCTGTTACTAAGGTTGAGATGAGAAGTTGGAAGACAATTATCTCTCTCCAGTGTCTTCCTATACATACATATTTACCCACATATAGAAGGCTTTATATGAATATTCATAGCTTTAAAATGAAAACCGCCTTCGATGCGTCGCCCGTCGTTGCAGCTTTATTGGCACTCCATTGATTAGACAAGTTGGGCAGAGATGAATATAAAAGGAGGCCCTAGAGTTTAGAATATTGCCGAAGCACTGCAAGAGCAAAAATAATAATGGAGCGGAAAAACCAGAGGACAGAGTGAGTGAATGAAGAAAGAGGTAATTAAGTGAAATAATAAAAAGATAAGACCCATTCGCTCTGTTTCCTTCTTTATGGCCTCCCCAATTTCCATGAGAACAAGATCTCCGCGTCAGATACATGCGATTAAAAAGTGAATTAACATTAAATTATTCTATGGGAATCCCCGTAAAGCATTCCCCATTCAAGAAATTAAAAGCTAGTAAAGCGGCGACGGTGGAGAAGAATGTAGGAGGACGACGGAGGAAGATTAGCCAAGCAGCGAATGAATAATTGGAGGAGGAAGGACGACGATGCGCGGAGAGAAAGGGCGAGCAATAAACTTTGCTTAAAGATTTTCCCAGGAGAATTCATCAAACTACGCCGCGCTGCCATTAAGACAACCAACACGGCCCTTCCTCCTTATTCACCTCATCCTCTTCTTCCTCCTCCCGACCATTAAAACCAATGTAATTAAAAACAATAAAAGCCGAGGAAATTATGCAAGACAGAAACTAATTAACTTAGAAATATCATCCGTCCATCGGAGATATTATCCTGCGAAAAGTTCGAAATACCATTCAAATAAGAATGCTGGTAGTTTCCAAAGCACCATCAAAATAATGACTGTAGTTGTATTTTTACATATTTTAAATGAAAATACTGAATATTTAATTTAGAAATACAATTAAAATAATAATGCGGATAGTTGCATAATAAATATTAATGACTATAAAAAAGTTTCTAGCAAAGAACAAATTTTTAAAAGTCTTATATGCTTCTAGATAGATTGCATTTTCTTTGTACAAAAGATTTAAATTTGAGAAATCATTCAAATAATAATTAAAATAATGCAGAAAATTCATACGTTTCTTTGTATGCAATCTTGTAGTTATTACAATACTTGTGAATGAACACATGATTAATCAGGTATTTGTACAAAAATCTATAACCACTTTAAGTTTTTCCTGATGTAAAAAACAATATTTTAAACTGCTTGTAATGGTGAGACATTATTTCTTACTAAAATACCAATTTGTAATTTATAATTTGCTGATGGCACAGTAACAATGCTATGTATTCCAATTTATTTAAAACATTCGTAATATAAACATTTTAAGTTAAATTGTCATTGAATTTAAATAATATTGAAGTATAAACATATAAATAATTTTTAATTATTTAGAAAATTATTATATACAGATAATGTAAGCATTAAGAATTAAAATTAATTAAAAAAATACATGTAGAGTTATTGAATTATCATTGATTTTTGTAACGCTTTGGAAACTTTTTAATACATTGTTCGCTTTTTATTAATTAATAAGAATTGAGTGATTCACATCTAATGTATAGCTATAATTGATAAACTTAATTATATTTAATAACAGTATTTCAAATTGATTTTCGTTTGTGTATAGGAATCCCGTAATTAAGCATAGTTCCACTTAAATGAATTAATTGAAACAAATTGAAGTCATACGATTGACAATCTTAACGAAATAACTTAAGACTTCAAGATTATAGTCAATGGCATTTCTAGGTAGTGTGAAAATCTGTATTTCAATTTAGTTCTCTTAGAAATTAGGAGTGATTCAATCTAGTCTAGTATCCGAGCCAGGGAACCAAGATAAAGACAGAGACAGCGCTGCAGAAGGCAATTAATTGAAGCACTTAAAACAATTTTTCACTCCTTAGTCATGCACTCGGCCGGTTCAAGACCCACTTTCAACAAATTACTTCTTTCAAGAGGCGTCCCATTACACCTACAAAACACTTTTAAACATAAAAAAGATCCATAGCACATTGAATTATCTCTGCGATGCTTAATTTTCCATTAAAAACATAATCAATAAACAAATTTCCGATGGAAGAGTAAAAAGAAAGTATAAGAAAAAAAAAACGTCTGCACAAAAATGTTCTTAACGGTTTCCCGTCGGGAGCTAAGGGTTACGTAATTTAGGAGGCTTCCCCTTCGACGGGTTCCGGTCTGTATGTAATTAGGGCAGGTAAAATTCGATTCACCTGCCTGCTCTCTTACGACCGGGTTTTCTCGTTGTACCTGTTCCTACCTCCACCTCACCAATTAATTCCTTTCCTATCCCGTCTGCCTGTTCTCTCTTCTCCTATTCGCATTCCGATGAAAATACGTTGAAAGAAATAAATGTATATAACGAAAAACGTGGAACGACAGGGGGTGAGAAGAGCGCAGAGTTCGACCCCGCCAAGAATTGAATTGTTTTTGTTGCCGGAACAATAAAAGTTGGAAAATCTGGTGATAAATGCGTTGTTTATTCTTTCGCCCCGGGGTCTTATCTCCTCCTGGCCCGAGCTTATTCTCTCCTCTCTTTGCAATTTTGATAGCATCGCCGTGTGTTTATGCCGGACCCCCGACCTCCCCTCTTCACATCACCCGCAGGATCGATGAAACGACGAAAAACATACCATGCACACACACGATGCGAGATAGAAGCAAGGAAGAAGGCGCATTTATAAAATAAGGAAAATCTATTTTCAATTCGCGGAGGATGGCGCACGAAGATGCTGGGTTGGCTGATGAGGAGGGGAATGGGGTTGAGGCGATGAGCGCCAAAAACAATAAATTCGTGCCGGGGAAATTCCCCAAATCAGATTCAAACAACGAAATGTTATTTTCGAATCGATTACAGTTTCAATGGGACAGAAGTAACGAAGAACACAAAATGAAAATAGTGAAGACAGAGTAGAAGAAAATCTAATTGGGGAACTGTACGATTCTAAATAGAGATGTGCAATTATTACATATTCTGTAAGAGTTTAAAGAGCTTTGATTTACTTATTGAATTAAGTGTGAATGCATCATAATAAAACGATACAAATAATAACTGAATTTTCATATTAATGAAATATGTTTGAGATTGGCTATTTTTTAATCATGTATTTATATCTCTACATATAACGTCACTTTCTTTAACAACTTAAACAAATTAAAATAACTGCTCGCTTGGTATTGGAAATAACGTTTTACAGCATTGAAGAAGAGTAGTGAATATAAATAAACCATTTAAATAAAATTCGAATAAAGGGTGCAGTGTTTTTCATCAGTTGATTACTTTAGTTAAATTAATGACCGAACGACGGTGCACAGTCGCAAGAGGCAAATAATAAAGCGGGATTAGTATCTTCTCGCAGACGGAAAAACTCACTAATTATCGCATTAATTGCAATTTCATTCATTTAACTACGCTACGTTTTTTATTGCAACACCCCTCGGAGGCGGCACACAAAGACCGGAGAACTTATTTTACATAAGAGGTAGGGTCGGCAATTTGCATCGGATGCATTTCATAATTTCCAAACGGGAAAAAAAATATAGAAAGGTTATGTGCACGTGTATGTGCAGAAATGCTCCATTTACATTTTCATTTCACAGCATTTAATTCGATATGTCAGTTGCACATTAAATTAATTAAATGTTTTGTGTATGAACGCCGACGGCCGACCGACCCCTTTTCAGGAGGAAAAATCAACCGAAATGCGCCGCTTCCGGTTGTCACATCGGACATGTCCACAAGGGGCGGCTGTGGCGGCGGCGGCAGAGCACGTTTGCAAGTAGCAAAAATCAAAATTACAAACAAACACCGCTGCAGCAAAGCAAAACAACGACGTTGATGATAATAATAATGAAAGCGCTGAAACGAATGCGTCAAAACAGGGATGAAACTTTGGAGGGGTCAGCTTTAAATTAATTATTGTTTTCGCCGTCGACGGTAAAGAGATTTTCACTCTTCCCTACCCCTCATATTTCTGCTTCTCTCTCTCTATCTCACACCCTTTAAAATCGTAATTATTTTCAATTTGCAGCGAGCACTGAACACGTACATACAGATGCCGCCGTCGCGGACTGCGAAAACACCAAAAACTCCGGTTCGTTTTCTACGATTTTGAAGTTGACTTAATTTGTTGGACGGGTAATTAGCATACCAAAATGCTAAAGACCTCTTTGAGTTTGGAGAAGGTCGAACTTTGGGCGCAAACTTGCCCGGGGGGCGGGTGGAGTCGGTCGTCAAACACCGAATCAGATTACACGGACGGGAATTTATCGCATTCATTCCTCGCTTCATTTATTATCAGAAACAAACAGTCACTGAATTTATAAAACTTCATGTTTCACGAGTCTCAGGCAATAACTTTTTGGTGGATATCAAATGGTATATTGACCCATGTGCATAACACATTTTTTTCACGTCACAGTAATGTTATTTGAATTATTCAAAACAAGTTTTCATAATATACTTGTTTTCAATAACTTAAATATTAATTTTATATTATATTTTTTTTAACAATTACTTTAAATATTGTTTTATAAAATAAAAAATGAAAATGCAATTTCAATTCTTTTTACATAAGTCAAAAGGCTACAATTCATTAAATTTGCGTTACAGAAACCAATAATTGCTATTACTTTGTGTAGGCTAAGGATCAAATGGTCCATATTGCATTTGCCGACCTTTGAATTGTATTGTAATTGTATTTCTATAATTGATTTAATTAATTAATTATTATTTTTCTTGAAAGATAACCAAATCATCGAAGTAATGAATTACAAAAAATGTATTTTTTTATTACTATGATCAATCAGTGAATTGAACAATTTTAAACATCAATTAATTTTAATATTCATATTGCATTGGTATAAACTACAAAAATAAAAATGTAATGAAAACTTCTAGTCTGTATGTTTTTCGTTCACTAATTTATTGAGCGTCTTTATAGCGACAGGTGGTCTATAAAAATATTTGATATTTTTAAGAAATAAAAAAAATAATAACTTCATTGATTACAGTAATTAGGTAATTGTAAATGTTATGTTTCTATAATAACTAAAAAAACCTTTATTATTATAAATATCAAACCTGAAATAAAAAATTGGTGGCACATTCTTATCTGCTTAAATCAAGACGTGTTACAGGTAATTCACAAGTATAAATAAAAATCATTCACGTTTTTAATTTACCAAATAATAAGGAATTAAGAAATTAAAAACGTCAATGATTTTTATTTATACTTGTGAATTACCTGTAACACGTCTTGTTCTTAGCAGATCAGAATGTGCCACCAATTTTTTATTTCAGGTTTGATATTTATAATAATAAAGGTTTATTTATAAATAAATAAATATAATTAGACTATAATTTAATAACTCACAGTATTACAGACACATTTTGTGTTTATAAACGAATATTTATATTCGCAATAAAAAAATACATATAGGAATTGAAGGAATTATATTTATATTTATAAGTAATTATATATTTCTTATTTAGAATGTAGATTTAATATTTATTATGTTTTATTGCACAAGATTAACTTGTATCAATTTTTTCTTGTATTTATTTCAAT